GGTGCTGAATAATTCAGTGGCAAAACCCATACATCCATTATAAGTAATGATAATAGCAAAAATCTCTAATAGATCAAGCTTTGACCCTTTCATAATAGAGCCTATATATTAATGACACACAATAGAAAATATATTGTTCCCCTGAAGGGGGAATTCATAAAGCAACACCAAATACAGACAAATACCAACAAAAGATTTAACAAAAAAATGTAACAGTAAAACTGTTCCTGTGCAATCAAATAAAAAACTAACAAAAATAACTAAAAACAAGTCTGCATTTATTAGTGCAGCATCTGTGTATCCACATAACTACAATGTAAAACTACTAACTTAAATCATAAGATGTTAACCTCAGTTTAACATTTATTTATAGCAGAGCTTGCAAAGCACTGCCATTGAGATGAGATAAATGCACCATGGAGGAACATAATCCATATAAAGTTTAGTAATCTGTATTACTGGTAGTGCAGCAATCAGTAACGTGTTAAAACTAAGATAAGTTGAATAGAAATATCTCAAATCATGTGGGAAGATGTTTGAAATTGAAATGTTACCTGCATGCTGGTACTGGGAACTGACATCTACCTCCTTTAAAGGATAGGGGGCACTGGCAGGGCGCACAGGTTGAAACATATAGCTGTCATTTGGCAAAGAATGCATCCTAGACACAGACATCTTGCCTGACGACAGCTGGTCCTGATCGCTGTACTGCAGGTCTTCTTCCTACAGAGGGCGACAAACACCACAAGGTTAAATCAGGCCAAATTCTGTATGGAAAAAATGTCATGCTGTTAAAACAGGCTAGGAAATTCTTTAGTTCATGCTAAAAATATTTTACAACTCTATGCTTCTACATACTGACCTCCTCAAGTGAATTTGGGCATGGCCCAATATAAGTCCCTCCCATAGAGCTATTGTTGGATCCTGTGCTTTGTCTGCGTTGCCTCTCCTCTTCCATTTCCAATGCAATTTCTGCATCCATCTCTGCATCCTCTTTGGCTTCCTATGAGGACAGATACATTTGTAACACACATTTTGCAATCACTTTTCGGAGAATTTTACAAGAAAATTATATATTTAGTTAGCTTTTTTTCCTGTGTATTTACCTTGTTGCTTTCCTCTAGATGTTTCATCAAAACAGCCACCACCACATTGACCAAAACAAACTGGGCCATGAGCACGAAGGTGACAAAGTATATCGGAGACACCCAGGGTAGGTAGGATAAACAGTGGCTTTCATGTGGCTGGCACTCCCTTAAAGTGTCCTTAAGAAACCAAGAGTAGAATTTAGACATGGAAACACAAAAAAAAACACTTTTAACCTCAGATTTGAAATTTAGAAAGGACGCTGCCAGTTAAGTGTTAGCTATTTAACAGCCATAACAGGTGATCAGGTCCCCTGGCTCAAATCTATTTTGTTGGCAGATAAGCTAAGCTGCAACACATTTCAACAATTTTGGAAAAAATATATATTTTACTTGTTCATTAAGTGTCTGTGTAATCAGTTAATCTCTTCAAATGAGTAAAAATATAAGAAGCTGCTTTTCAGAAGCTTTTGAGTTATTTGTAGTTTAAGATTTTGGGAAAAGGCCTTAATTCAAAAGGGTTTATGTGACATAAATGCAGTTTTCCAGGATGATATTATGGACTGTATATTATGCTCAGTGGCGCAGTGGGTAGCACTACTGCCTTGCAGCAAGAAGGTTCTGGGTTTGGTTCAGGGTCTTTCTGCAAGGAGTTTGCATGTTCTCCCTGAGCAAGTGTGGGTTCTCTCCGGGTACTCCGGCTTCCTCCCACAGTCCAAAAAAATGACTGTTAGCTTAATTGGCTTCTCTAGATTCTCCTTAGGTGTGAATGGTTGTATGTCCGGTTTGTCTCTGTATTGCCCTGCGATGGACTGGCGACCTGTCCAGGGTGTGCCCCTAGAAAGCAGCTAAAGATTTGCAAATGTGTAAT